ACAGTGAGCAAATTCAGGAAAATTGGCAGCAGTTCATGACCTTTCTGTAATAGTCCATATTTGAGTTTTATCAACCATCCAAATAACACCTTTCCTTTATAGAAAATTACCTTTTCTGGTACAGAACACTCAACACTGCAGGATTTAGTGGTCTTGTGTCATTCGTCTTTCATTTGGAGCTTACCCCAAGCCTTTCTTCCTAATGACAAAGACATGTTTACGGGTTCGCAACACATGAGTTTATGGAAGTTTCTCCATTCTCAGTTTGAAGGGAAGGATAACTCACACTTGGTGGTGGATGGAGTGTCAGGGTCTCCTTGTAAGAAGAGCATGCGAGATGAGCGATGTGGTCCTCCTTGGGACTAGGTTGCTGTGGGCGTCATTGGAAAAGGCAGTCTACAATGCAATACACAGAAACTCCACTGTCAGAAGGCTTGGTTCATATGTATCTTCATATTTTTAAGGAATAATTTGTCAAAACTGCTTATACATTTTGCCTGACTTCAACATATAAAGTATCTGATTCATTATTACTCTTTTACCTTAAAAGAAAGTTAACCTGAGTTGATGAAACATACCAAAAGTTTACAAAAAATTTAAATTGAGATTGACCAATTGATTGTTTTGGCCAGTTTGTTTTTTCCTTCTCATCTCACACACACACACACACACACACACACACACACACACACACACTTCTGAAGGATCTGACAGTAGATTGGGTATCTTGTACAGCATTTTCTACAGAACAATTTTCAAATTCGGAAAAACAGCATCACGTTATTACTTTTATATGTGTATGGTCTATAATTCCATTTTGTCGATCATTCTAATAATAACCTTTATGGAAAATGTTCTTATTATTTGCAGTATCTTGTGATGGTGATTTATTCAACCAATTATCTATACTCTTGACAAGCATGGAGATAAGATTAGAAGTTTTGACATCAACAAGTATCAAGCAGAAAAAACCCTGGCCGCGAGTCTCTTGGTTGGGACAGGTAGAATTTTCTTTATGCATACGATACTAATTTTAATATATGTTAAATGTGTGTTCTACCTCTGAAGATGTAGAAATGTAATAAGAAAACGCCTAGAGAACTGCTCACTGAACAGGGTTTGTGTGTGTGTGTTTTGTTTTTATTATGATAAGCATATTTTTTCAGAAAGCAACCTAGGAGGGAGTTTAATTTAAAAAATGTGTTCTTTAAAAAAATGGTTTTATTGGCATATAATTCACAAATCATACAGTTCAGCAGTTTAATCATGTTAAGATTTGTATAATCACCACCACAATAAATTTTAGGACATTTCTTGGTTCATATACTCATTGTTATTAGCTCCTCATTTCCCCCCAGCCTCCCCTACCATACCTCCAAGAAACCATTTATCCAGTTATTGTCTGTATTTTTGAAAGTAGGTTGAGAGGGTACATAGAGCAAAAGGGGATGGTTAATCTTTTGAACTTGTCTCTTTACATGTCAGTTGAATGTTTATTCCCATCGTGATAGCTGTATAAAGTGCTATCTAGTGTTCTTACCATAAGAATGGAAGACCCGGGTCACAATGTGTTAACAATCCAGGAAAACAAAAGTATATGGGATATATTATTCACCTTTGGGAAAGTGGGCCAGCCTAGCCTGTAAGATCCTCGTAGAATTTCCAAGATTATTAAAATTTTAAAAAGAGTGTTCACATTTCTTGTGAGAAATAACACCATTATTTCGGTTCCTCTGGTTCTTAAACTTCAGGGTAACCGAGAGTCATCAGGGAACCTTGTTACTGGCATACAGATTGGTGAGCCTACGCCAGACTTTCTGATTCAGTAGGTCTGGGGCGCGTTTGGAGAATTTGCACCTCTACAGTATGCTCTAGTGTTTCTGGTGCTGCTGGTTCATTGACTGTGCTTTAAAAATCACTGCCTTAGAATGTATAAAAACAAGGGAAATAAAAAAAACATTTTACTAGATAATAAAAAATGTTGATTCAGGTTTATCAATTTCAGAAGTCAAATCTGTTTTAATAGAACTGTAGATAAAATTTTGGAGCCCTGCTGAAAGAGTGGGTTCTCTTGACCTGCTACCACCAGCCACTCCAAAGGAGGGAGATGAGGCTTTCTACGCCGTCAAGATTTCAGTGTCAGGAACCCACCGGAGCAGTTGTGCCCTGTCCTAAGGGTCACTGTGAGTTGGCTCGATGGCAGCGAGAGAGTGTGAGACAGGTATACTCTTAAGACTGCCCATTCCAAATAAAACCAACTCACTGCTGTCGAATCGAATCTACCTCATAGCAACTCTTAATAGTTCCAAGACTAGAACGCTTGTATGGCAGCAGACAGCCTCATCCTTTGTTTTGGAGTAGCTGGTGGGTGTGAAACGCCAATTTTGAGGCTAGCAGCCCAGAGTGCAGCCCTCAGCACTACATTACTGTTAAAATTGATAAGGTTAAGGAGCAGACAACCTCGTTTGGGCTAGCAGAATTTGAAGATACCCTGATGATAATTTTAAACTTCAAAGAAATGTAAATACAGTCATTCATTTTACATAGTAATTCTAATAAGATGATATTTTAAAATCTATTGAAAAATCTCCAGGTCCTTTAGGGTCTCAACTTTAATATGGTCATCTTACGTTTGTGGAACAAATGTATAATCATTTCTTACATGTCATTTCATTTTTTCCTAGGATAATTTGTTTAGATGAGAAATTTCATAGATTAACTTGACTTTTGGCACCTCTTATATCCTTTACTTATTTCTTCTCTTAGGAAAATGAATCTGTTTTTCTTTTGGATGATAAATTCATAAATGAAATTAATTTAAGATCAGGAAGGACAACAAAGAAAATTCCCATTCTGCAGCCTGTGTTGAAGGATGCTATTGCACTAACAACATCCAGTAATGGTTAAGTAGTAGTGATCTATTTTTCAAGGTCTAGATTAACTATACTTTAAATAATTTAGCCTGTAGATCTAAGGAACTTTTACAATGAATATTATATTTTTCTCTTTTTTTGGGAAGCAGATGCTTGGCTGGCTGGGGTACTCACTACAGGAGAGCTTTTTCTTTGGAACAAAGATAAAGATTGCTTGAAAATTATACAAGCAGCTAAAGAGCCTCAGGAAATGATTAAAGCTGCTGTAGGTAGGAATATTTTATTTGCTTAAATAGGTTTCATGTGATAAATAAGAAAAAAAGGATGAGATATTTTCCTATTATAATTTAAAAATGTCTCTAAATATATCCACAGATACATTATGATGGGGCTTCAAAAATTTTGTGGAGAAATTCTGTTATCTTTTAATTTAAGTTCCCCCCGAAGTTTTTGAAGCCCCATCATATATATAGGTCTGTGTGCTGCTGGGGTTCCAGTTCATATATGCATGAGTTTATTCCAGAAAAGACATGTTTAGTTAGACATGTCTTTGTCGTCAGTGGGTGGTCATAGACAGTTTTCCCAGTAATACTATAGGAAGTATAAAGTATTGCTATAAAATCATACAAACTTTTACTAAACCAAAGTATCAAAATGTGGAGCTATTGTCTTTTGTGTTCCTTTGTGATAGCCAGATTTATCTTGTGGAAGAAGTTTGATCTGCAATTCTATTTAATAATGCAATCTTAGTATCACATTTGAAGCCGAAACCCAAACCCACTGCAATCAAGTTGATCCCGACTTAATTGCGACCCAAATACTACTACTATTGGTATTTCTTGTTTACTACTAGCATCTTTAAGGAGTCCCTGAGTGGTACAGTCAGTTAAGCAGTCAGTTACTAGCTGTAAAGTTAGCAGTTTGAATTCACCCAGAAGTACCTTGGAAGGCAGGGCTGGCAAGATGCTGCAGCAAGGTCACAGCTTTGGAAATCCATCCCGTAGAGCAGTTCTGCCAGCACACAGGGCTTACCAAGAGTTGACAGAAACTAACAACGCATCCTAGGTTTTTAACACCCTAACTTGGTAGCATCATTTGAGTTTCTGATTGTCTGGACTAGATAAACTATGCATTTTTTCTGAGTGAATTCAGATTTTAGAAGTTTAACTACTTTATTTATTTTTAAGCAAGCTCTTTGAGACTGTATTTATATGTATCTGGAAATGGAAAGAGAGTCCTGCTCACTACACTTTCCGGATGCTTATTCCTTTGGGAGCATTTGGATGCTAAGAGTGTCCTGTCTTCTAAAAGCCCTTCTCTGGTGGGCCAGTGGTCCCATGTCAGACCTGAAGAAACAGTTCTTCTGCCTTCCACCGAAGACAAGGAAGCTGCAGTGCATGCTGTTTTTATAAACAATGAGGTAAAACCCAAGTCAGACGATGTTATAGGCATTGTGATCTCAGACTCCAAGAACTCTGACTCTCTGTGAATTATTTAGCAGCATGTGCAGTGACACAGCTTTGTGTCTCTTATCATTAATTGTCACAGTAACTGTGAAACTGTTGTAAGGAAAAGATATTTTTATATTTCTTGGTTACATTTAAAACATTGCTTATTGAAAGTGATTTGAATTTGGAATTTATTTTTTCTTGACCTGGTTTTAAAATACAACTTTATTTATACTGTAACAAGCTAGAATTGATGATAATTAAATGATTTGATTTCCAGGAAATAAATTATTCATTACATTCTTTTTCAAATAACTGTTTGGTCCTCTTTGTATGGGTCGGCCAATCTGCACTGTGAAGAATTCCATTTTGAAGTTCTGTTTCTCTGCTCTTGCTGCCGTGCCCTGTAGGTGGTGTGCGGCTTCAGTAGCTCTGAGAGACGAGAGAGACAACGAGAAAGCTCTTTCCAGTTATAGCCAGAGTGAAGAGCAGGGATTTCTGTATGAGACTAGCCCCTACTTCTCATTTGGAGCAGACCTCTGCCTCACAAAAAGAATTGTGTAGTCTTGAGCTTAAAGATAAGATCCAAGCAGGATTACAATATTTTTTCATTGTATTATGATGATAATTATATGTGCTGTGTATCTTGACTTATTTTCAGATTATATTTAAACTAAAGTATCTTAAATTTGTCTACAGTTATTTGGAGATTGCTGCTTGTGTTCGTTTGCATTTTATTCTGGGGACTACCTTAAGTTAACATTTCTGGCAACTCGGTGGCATGAGCATGTATTTACCCCTATAAGGTGAGGTAAATGTTCCTTTCTTTACTGTCTTTCTCTTTTAAAAAAATGCTATTATCTTTTGGCCTATATAAACATAATATGATAGTGAACTACAACTAATTTTTTTCCCATAGAAGTGTTACTCTATTATATCTCTAGCTTTTACTTCTAAATGTTCAATGTAGCAAGTCTTTGTTCTTCTTTGTTTTGCTCCTTGCTTGGAAGTGACAACACATAGAACATGAGTTTGAAAAGCAAAGACATAGACGCCGACATCACAGCAACATGCAAACCCCCCAGATGACAAACCGACATGAATGGTGCATTTCACTGAGTTTTAGAGGTTAGCATGTGATCAATACAGATAGTGTTGAAGGAAGAAGTTCAAGCTGCACTGAAGGCATTTGCAATAAAAAACCAAAACGACTCCAGGAATTGACAGAATACTAATTGAAATGTGCTTTAACACACCTGCCATGTGGTGCTGGAATTGCTTTCTCACCTATGGCAAGAAATTTGGAAGACAGCTACCTTGCCACCCAACTGGAGGAGCTTCATATTTGTGCCCACTGCAATATAATGTAGAAGCTATGAAGTAATATTATTGATAACATTTGCAGATAACATTTTTATAAAGGTAATTTAAAAATGATTACAGCAGCACACTTGCAGGGGACTGCTAGAAATTTAAGCTGGATTGAAAAGAAGACAGGGAATGAGGGATCTCATTGTTGACTTCAGATGGGTCTTAGCTGAAAACAAAGAATACCAAAAGGATGTTTACTTGTGTTTTATTAACCATACAAAGGCATTTGACTGGATCTACAAAGGTATAGCAAACTTTGGATAACATTGCAAAAAGCAAGAATTCAAGAACACTTGTAATTGTCCTCATGTGGAACCTGTGCATAAACCAAGAACTAGCTGTTCCAACAGAACAAGGCAGTACAGCATGGTTTAAAATCAGGAAAGGTGTGCATCAGGGTTGTATCTTTTGGCCATACTTTTGAACCTGTATGCTGAGAAAAACTGGACTAAGAAGAAGAACATGTCATCAGGATTGGATGAAAACTTGCTATTTATCTGTGACAAGCAAATGACACAACTTGCTTGCCGAGAGTGAACAGGATTTAAAATATTTAGGGATAAAGATCAAAGACTACAGCCTTTAGCAGCAATCCAGAGTATTAGATCGGTGTACTGGTGAGTATTTCCTGATTCCACTTACTGTGTATACTCCAGTAGAAGCCAACCCGCAAATCAGCCGAGGCACCTAATGTTACCACGGAAACTGCATACAAAGTGTGCTGAAAAACTTGGCTCATACTCTAGTATATACAGTACTTTTCTCCTGATGAACAGTTTGCTAGTGCCATGCTGAAGAGAAAGACGCATAAGTGATGTATTTGAAGCCATAAAATGTAAGGTATTTTTACTTCTGTATAATCTGCAGCTGTGCATCTTTTGTCATGATGAACCCTGAAATAGCATGTTAAACGATTGCCTCATCCGTAATCACATAGGGAAAACTGACATGTTCTCCCTTCTGTACGACTGTTCCTTGAAAGGTAAATTGTTAATTTTATACTATGTGATTTCTGTTCTTCACAAAATAGGTTTCACTATTCTATTTTAACCCTGTTGGTCAGAGGTGGGGGGTGCGGGAAACGACTACAGCTTTCAACATAAACAAAATGCTCAATTAACACCATAGTAAATGGAGAAAATGTTGAAGTTGTCAAGGAGTTCATTTTACTGAGATGCAAATCAGCGCTCATGAAAGCAGCAGTAAGAAATCAAAGTACATGTTACATTGGCAAATACGGTGTAGAAGTACTAAAAACAAAGATGGCACCTGATGGGCTACAGCACAACTGATTTATGCTATTTTCAGTCTTCTCATATGCATAGGAAAGGTGAACAATGATAAATAAGACCGAGAAAGAATTGATACCTTTTAACTGGAGTGTTGGTGAGAAATACTGAATATATCATGGACTTCCAGAGCAAACAAATCTTGTCTTGAAAGAAGTAAAGCCAGGATGCTGCGTAGAAGCAAAGATGGCAATACTTTGTCTAAACTATTTAAGATATGTTAGCTGGAGGCACCAGCCCCTGGAAAAGGGCATCATGCTTCGTGAAGTGGAAGGGCAGCTGAAAAGAAGACCCTTCAGATTGGCATAGTGACTGTTACAGTGGCAACACCTGAGGATGGCCCAGGACCAAACGGTGCTGCCTTCTGGTGTGTGTAGGGTTACTATGGATGGGAACTGAGCCAGTACCAACTTTTACATATTCGTGGTTTTTAATCGAAAGTTAATTTAAACATTTTATTGAGGGCTCTTAAAACAGCTCTTGTAACAATCCGTACATCAATTTTATCAAGCACATCTGTACATATGTTGCCATTATTGTCTAGACATTTATTTTCTATTGAGCCCTGGGTGTCCACTCCTTTACTCCACCTCCCCCCCAATATATTTATTTTAAAAAGCCCAATAATGTAGGAAGAGATACATTACAAGTATTCCATGCCATAGGGAGATTTTGGAAAATGGTATAATTTTTCAGATTTTTTTCTGCTTATTTTGTATGGTTACCACTTTAGTGAAGCATGTTTTACATAAAGTGAAATGAACAAATTATAAGTGTTTTAACTAGATGAATTTTGATAAATATTGGTCTTCAGAAATTTTTGCAAAAATAGAAGTGAAAGCTAATGGAAATTTTCCGTTTTGAAGTTTTGCTCTCTCTCTCTCTCTCTGTTGGCACTGTTGAGTACAGCTTAACCTCTCTGGTGGCACTGTTGAGTAAAGCTTAACTATTAGTTCAGTAGTTCAAACCCATAAGCCACTCCATGAGAGAAAGATTTACAGCCTTGGAAACCCTATATATGGTTGCTGTGAATCAGTGACTATGGCAATGAGATTTTGGATATAGAGAATTTGTCATGATCTATGTAGAACGTTGCCACCACCCCCAAAGCATTTCCCCGTATCCTTTGCAGTCTCTTTGAAAAATGCTTGTTATTGCATAAACATATGTGCATCTAGACTGTTAGTGGAAACAAATGTTTTTTGAGTTGACTAGGGAGCATAGTTAAAACCAAAACAACAACAAACTGACTGTCATTGAGTGAATTTCAACTCATAGTGACCCTGTAGGACTTGGTAGAACAGCCCCTGTGGGTTTCCAAGTCTGTTGACTCTTCATGGAAGTAGAAAGTAGTTACAAAACTCCGATTTTGAGTTGGTTTAACTTACTGGTAAACTCCTATTGTGAATGAAGCTCTGAATGGTTACCAAGAGGTCTTCTCAATATACATGCACGTGTCATAATTTAGGTGAACCCTTTAAATTTTTTAATGAGCTCTGTATTTAAGACTTACTATATATTGTTTGAATCTGTTTCATTATGCTCTTAGATCATTGCTATATCGTGTTCATTGGGCACAACAAGACTGTTTCCTTGGCAGTCTCATTCCTAAGTGTGAATCAGTGAAGTCCAGAGGAGCTCTGATTTCTGCCTTTTCAAGAGATGGCCTTACCCTGGCAGTAGCTCTCAATCAGAGAGACCCAAAGGTAGGTAAATGTAATCTATCTTGGAAAATAAGCTATTGAAAGTAATTTATAAAGAGAATTCTGATTTTTTACATTGAAAATTGTATTTTGCTTTTTTTCCTTCTCAGTAGTATTTATGTACATATATATATATTTTTTAAGTTGGTATTTTCTAGTCCAAGTTAGCATTGTGGTTGTAAAAAGTTAGCTTCCATAATTTAAAAAACGTGCCTGTCAGAAGTGAGAGTAAAGAACAATAGGTGGTTACTGAATCGAGGAGCATGGTAGGAAAAGAGTCCAGGCAGAGTTGACTGGTAGGACAAACCTAGAGGTCTACTGTTCTATCACAAGTACACTCACTCCTCACTTATTAACTTGCCTAGGTTCCAAAGACCAGGTCATTGGTATTTGAGAGTTGGGATAGGTGAGATCAGTGGTACATGCAATTTGGGGGTTGTACCCTGTCTTTGGTACCAATGTCATCTCCCCATGTTTGTTCACTGACCATTTGATGTGCCTGGGATGCACATGCACAAGTCTCCTCTTGCCTACTAGCCTTTCCACACCACTGTGGAGTCGGTGAGGGTGGAGAATGATGGTACTTGGGTGTTACCCATTGTTTACCTTAGGTGGGGACCCTACTAAGCCACCTCCTGCCACAGGCTCTTTGTATGAACCCCACTTGTCCTCTTTCTGCACACAGCCCCATGCAGCTTGTTCCCTGTTCCTTACTTCCTTTGGATCATACCTGGCCACCTATTGTCTGCCCATGACCTCACATTGTCCTGAGGTTGTCCCCTACCCTTTGTGACTGGACTGAGACATAGTAGATGAATGGGAGAAAGTGCCCTGATACAAGTTAATTGCTATCCTTATGTGGCCTGGTTACTGTTGGGACCTCCAATATAATATTGTTCAGGGTAGCCTGTGGAGGACACCCCAAGCCTAGCTGAAATACCCCCATGCAACTGGAGCAAAACCTAAGAATGTTTTCAACTTTGTCATAAATGCAAGATGTTGGTTATGAGATAATAAGTGAGGAGTAGGTCAAGTGAGTAAAGTAATTTGAAAGGGTTTGTGCTTTTTTTTTTTTAGGCAACTCAGGTATTATTTATAAACACACTGAATTTTGCAACCACCTCTGGTAGCCTTAAAGGATGTAGTAACAAGAATCCTGTCCTTCCAGCTGCACTTACCAGGTAAAGTTCTCTTCTACTTCTCAACAGTGTTGTTGTTGTTGTTGTCATCCAATCATCCAACAAATTTCAGATTCAGCTAATTCAGTAGTTACCATTTAACACAGTTTATCTTATGTGCGTGTGCTGGATAATTCTATCTAAAAGTTGCTTTTTTATAAACAAAAGCTTTTTAAAGGTCTGGGGAACTTTTTTCTTTCATTTCTTCCTGTGTCATCTGAGGAGAAATGGCATCTTGCTGCACTAGAGGAAAATCAGGTTTGATTGGAGAAATTGAAATGAAAAAGCCTAGATTTTGAATACCATTATTTGCTATTGGGTGTTGATAGCCTTTTAAATAAGGTTTGTATCCACTGCATCTCTACCCATATACAAGGTAGGAGATGACTCTTTAGTTTGTTGTTGAAAATATACATAATAGAACATACACCAATTCAACAGTTTCTACGTGTACAATTTAGTGACATTGAGCTTCAAGTAATACAAACATCTTCCAAGGAGATGACTTTGGATGGGTAATGAACTACCACCACCAGGCCATAAGCCAGGTTTCTAAGGCTGCAAATCTTTACAGCATGGGTGTCAAACTCAATTAAAATGTGGGCTATTTGGTGCAACAGGGAAGATTCACGCAGGCCATATCACATTTACAAATTTTGTTAAATTTATATTTTGAAGTGAGGATTCAGGAATATGAATAGGATAATTAAAACACTATAGAATTGCTTTTATTTAAACATTTGTTTTATTTAATGTATTTATAAAACTAAAATTATTCTTTTTTACCCGAAACTTGCCAGTGCTTTCCTCCTACTAGTTTTCGCTTACCTCTTATGTTATGAGCGGAAAATATAATAACTAATAAAAACACAAAATGTTGCACGGCTGACAAACGTGATGCACAATCGAATCCTAATGGCTTTCCTCTAAAAATGTTAATTAGTGCTGCCGCTAGGTATGATTCATAACAGCACAACCCAGAGTGCTCTTTTTAGCCTTTTCACTATTGGGATCTGCTTACATGACATGACACTGAGCGTGGCAGACACATCGCTTCCATCCGTTGCCGGAACTGAGTCCGTGCATTTATACACATCCACAGGCCCCCAGGAAAGGCACTGGGCCACCTGTCTACTCGTCTTCAGTAGTTAAAGGGTTAATGAGGGAATTGTGTGTATGGTATTGCCTTGATCTCTCCTAAGTGCTCTTTTCTTCATAACAATTTTTTCTATTTTCATTTTATTTCAGAGCATCACATCACAGGCCACAAAAAAGTACCTTGGGGGCCGCATGGGGCCTGTGGGCCTCCAGTTTGACACCCCTGCTTTACAGGAGCAGACTGCCTACACCAGTGGTTCTCAACTTGTGGGTCGCGACCCCTTTGGGGGTCAAACAACCCTTTCACAGGGGTTACCCGATTCATAACAGTAGCAAAATTACAGTTATGAAGTAGCAACGACAATAATGTTATGGTTGGGTCGGCACCACAAAACAAAAAACAAGGAAAGGGTGAGAACATTAGGAAGGTTGAAAAGCACCAGCCTTCACCTTTCTTCCAGAGAGAAACTGCTGGGCCTGACCTGTCCACAACAACCTGTCCTGTTAACAACCTAACACTTAACCTACTGTGCCTCTACGGCTCCTTATGCTCAGTGCAAATTGTCACAGGTGTTGTAGAGACCCCTTTCTTAACATGGTGCCTCTTGCTTTTTCTAGGTCCTACTGGGTAGGTGATATCAGCTGGACACATGATAATCTTTTTCTGGCTTGCATGTTAAAGCGTGGCTCCCTGGTTTTACTGACCTCCCAGGGCGAGTTGCTAACGTTAGTTACATTTGGTTGCTCTATAGAATTTGGACCAGCTGAATTTATTCCATTTCATCCACTAATAACATATAGGTGAGGCATTTGAGTTACTTTAATTTGCCTACAGTGCTTTTTTCATTTGACATTACTTTTACTGCATGTTTATGTGTTTTTATAATTTCCTCTTTCAAATGGTTTTATTATTTTAGTCTGTCATCTCATAATCTGTTTCTTATTTATAGTTCTCTTTTATTTCTTTTTATGGCTTAATCCTGCTGAAAATTTGCCATTGTGAACGATGTAAGTATAAATTGTTTGAATGTTCAGTAGTACCTGACAATTCATCTACTTTGAGATGAAAGTTAATGGAAAGAAAACTCATTGCTTTCTAGTTGATTTTGACTTACAATAGAATTGTATGCCATTTCTTGTTGTAAAACAATTACACTTAGATAAATAATATAAAGATTAAGTTGACACATGGATTTATCTACTTTGTTCCCCCCAAAGGAAAAAAAATGTTGAAAATGGATAGGTGACTTCAGCATTTAGCCACATTTTAATTGTGAGATTGGAATAGCAGTTTGACTTTGAAATCAGACAGATCAAGATTTAAATCTCGTTTCTTCTATTAGCTGTTGATTTGGGGTAAATTACTCTTTTCTGAATTAGTTTGTATATAAATTAAAAACAGTAACATAGATGCCACAATCCAGGAAATAATGATTTAATCCATTATTATACTTACATGACAGAGACAGACACATTTAGGAGTCCCTGGGTGATGCAGCTGTTTTATGTATTTAGCTTCCAACTGTCATAGGCTACCAAACTTATTTGGCCTACCACCCCCTTTCAGAAGAAAAATCATGGATTTGCTCCCACCTCAACAATTAGAACTTTTGTCTTAGAGCCTGTCATCCAAGATGAGTGCTATAATACCTGGTTTTACAGGCCTCTTGGATCATTCTAGTGCCCCCTAGAGGGCCGTATCACCCATTTTAAGAAATACTTGTAATTGAGAAGTTAAAAGGTCTGAGACCAACCAGAGGAGCCTCAGCAGAGAAGCCTGGCAGTTGCTTCCAAGAAAATCACTGAAAACCCCATGGAACACAGTTCTACTCTCACACACATGAGGCCACCACGATTTGGAATCGACTCCATTGCAATTGGAGGAAAAACACAAACAAAATAACCCAAATGAAACATACCTGATAGATTCATTTAGTTTTTTTTTCCTTTTTTCATTTGTTTACTTTGTTACTCTCTTTTAGTTTTCGTTTGCTTTGTTACTTTTCTTTTGAATAGTGTAATTGTTTCATTTAAGGTTTCTCTCTTACTGATTATTGAATTTTTATGTTTGTTTGCTAGACCTCAGCAGTTTACATTTCAAGATTCAAATAATTCTGTAGATTCATCGGCTTCTGATGGTGATCCTACAAGGCAGAGGTTTTCTGTAAAAGCACATTCCTGGCTCCCCTACCTCATTATTTCTGATGGCTATATGGTCACAACCCTTCGGTTTCTTGATAAGCTGTCTCCGTCAGTTCTCATGAGATCACTTCTACTTGATTCAACCCAGAGGCTGGAGAAAACATACCAAAGTGTGATATTGTCCAAGGTAGTGTACTTTTTTTGTATCATTGGCAAATAACTTTCAAAAGTTGCATATGGACAGTAATGTCTTTGGATGGTATACAGCTATTAATAAGATTTTTAAAAAATTGTGTAATGAATTTACTGATAACATTTTACTCTTGGAAATCTTTTGTCCTCATTCCTGTAGCCCAGAGGGAAAGGACTGAACCTCCGATCACTGGATTCCCTAAGGTCTAGTCTGTTAAAACACCAAGGAAATGACACTTCAGTTGATTCAACTGTCCCCAAATTCTTACAGATAGAAGAAACATTGGAGTTAAATGAAAAAACAGGGGATTTGCAAGTAAGTAGTCGCTGTGTTTTATTTACTTTGAACAACAATTATGCATTGATTTTCTTCCAAGAAACAAATTTTATGTCTCTCTTGTTAAAGGGAAGAGAAATGTAACACCTCAAATTTACTCTCTTTTAAGGTAGTCTGTGTTATTAAGTATAATTTTTCTCTTGTGTTTTAGGATTTTGAAATGGAAGAAATTAATGAAGGCAAACACTTTCCAAATAGCCCATTTCCATTTTGGAACCAAAAAAATGATCCATTATTTAGTAGTTTCAAGGAGGGAAGATTAGAATTTGCGTCTATGTTTGATACGATACATGCAAAGAATGACACAGAGGAGGCAGGTGGGACCATTACTGAACTGCACTCTATCCAGAAAAATCTCCTTGCAGCATGGAATATAGGAATTTCAAAAAATGTGACCGAAAAAAATGTCATGCTAAATTACACAGTCATTTGTATTACTCATTTTTTATACATTCTTCAGTTTGTCAAATGTCCTTTCCCTAAACTTGATATTTTTTCAGGTAAGAGCCCAAGAGATAATGCATGGGTGCTTTGTATCTTTCAACTTTTTCATCATTGTTTATCAATCCAATACTGGGATATGAGACATAAACAAGACTTGGGACATTTGGTAAAACTGACTTCACATACCATGAAACTTTTGTTGAATCAGCAACAACTAGATCAATCATTCTCAGAGAAGCTTTTAGCCTGTTTTTATTTACTCAGAATGGTGGCTTCCAACTTAAATGGTGTATATCAACTTCAACCTGAAATTATTTTTACATCAACTGATGGAAATAGAACAACAAATCAAGACTCCTTGGTGGTACCTATTTTCCAAATGTTTCAAAGCTATGGCCCTCAGGAAAAGTGGTCTTGGGACTCACCTTTCAAGATACAACCTCAAGTCGTAAATCTTGTTCAACAGCCATGCCACAGGTATAATGACTTTATTGAATATTATGATTAACATTGTGGATATTGTTCCTTTTAAAAAAATGAGGCGTAATTCCCATATACAACTCACGATTTTAAAGTGTGCAATTCATTGGGTTTTGGTAGATTTAAAAGTTAGGGAACTAACACCATTGTCAAGGTTTGGAATGTGTTTATCACCTCAAAAAGAAACCTGGCACCCATCAGCACTGGGCATTACAGATTGTATGTTATTTTAAAATATTTTAAAATTTGTTTCAAATGCTCTGCAACATGCATGTTTTGTTAGTATTAGGCTAAGGTACTTGCTAAGATGTTGATTTGTCTTTACACACTATAGAAAAACTTCAGGTGCATCGTGTATTTCTGAAGACTTTAAAACATTTTGTATGGTTTTTGGTCATTAGAGTTTGGATTATTTTTAAGATCCATCAGTTTGTGCATATTATTACAACAGTGAAGAATATAGGCAAAGAAGAAATACATCAACTAAGAAGGGGAATAACTGCATTTTTATCTTTAGTCTGAAATTCGCCTTTGATGATTATCTGATTTTATGTGCAGATTAATAACTCTCTGGAGAATATTGTACCAAAAATCATTATGGTATCAAGCACAATTAAGTCGAAGAGTTTTTAAAGGTGACAGGCAGTTGACCGAAGCCGTGACACATGAAGCATCTATTGTCAGATCCCTGCTCTGTCATGTACAGGCTAACTTACAGGCTGCTGGAGATCACTTGAGCCAAACCTTAGAACTGAAATCTATAAATGGTCAGTATTATTTTGCTGATTGTCGTAACACAGGGTAACGGCACTCTTTCCATTTCCTCCCTGTGTTTACTGTTTCCCGCCATCCTTCTTTCCCATCTCTTCCAGCCTTGGACTGCTATCTGTTGAGATGCTGCCCTTTTGATCTTGTTTGGTTGAGCTAAAGAATTCGTATCTTTCTCTCACTGTTAACCTTCTGCATCTGTCTGTGTGGCTGAAAGTTGAGCCATGGGGATGAGTTCAGTTGTAGGCCAAATGGGTTTCTAAGGACCATAGTCTCAGGATTTACACCAGATTCTATCAGACCAGTAAGTTTGGTCTTTTTTATGATTTTGAATTTTATTCCACATTTTTCTCCAACTCTATCAAGGACCTACTAAATGTGATCCTTTCCAAGCTGTTGGCAGTAGGAGCCAGGTACCATCTAATTCTTCTGGTCTCATTGTTGTGGAAACTGGGGTTCCCGTGGTCCATTCAGCCTTTGGACTAATTGTTTTCTTGTGTCTTTGATTTTCTTCACTCCTCTTTGCCCTGAACAAGGAGAGACCGGTAGTTGCTTCTTAGATGGCTACTCACAAACTTTTAAAGACTTTAGTTGCTACTTTTAAAAATAGAATGTAGAACATTGATTTGATGTCCCTTAGACTCTGGTCCTGAGCCTTAAATGGTCAGTATCTCATAAACAATTTCTCACTCTGTGAATAAGCACTATAGTTAACTGGGCTTTGAGTTTATTAATTGGCTACAATTAATTGTCTTTTAAAATAATTTGTGACAATTTGAAAATAAAGTATATCTTTATAAAGTTGTAGTGTTAACCATGGCTAATTGTTGGTTAAAAACATTTTAGGTGAAGAACATTTTCTGTTAGGATCATATGAAAAATCTGTTCTGCTGTGGAAGAAAGCTCTACAAGAAACTCTAGAGAAAGGTAGGGCTGTGTTTAAAAAATACTTGACATAATATTGGTAGGATCATAGTTTAGTTTGGTACAGAACCTAAATGTAATTTCAGTTTTCAGCATACTCATGATTTATTTTTTAATGGTTTTATTGACATATACTTTACCTATTCATGAATTCTTTCTTTTTAAAAAAATCATTTTATTTGGGGCTCTTAGAAATGCTCCATACATAAATTATATCAAGCATATTTGTACATATGTTGCCATCATCATTCCAAAACATTTTCTGCTTGAGCCCTTGGTATTAGCTCCTCTCTTTTACCCTCCCTCCCCAGCTCTCCCACCCTTGTGAATCCTTGATCAATTATAATATTGTTTTTATTATTTTGTATCTTACACTGCCCGTTGTCTCCCTTTACCCACATATTCAAGATTTCTTAATGCGCAGATGGAATTAATATTGTTGACACCCCAAGTGTCAGAAATACATATTTATAGTTATTTATAATCTCAGAATTTGTTCCACCAACAGTTGTTTCAGTTATTTATAGTGAAGCCTCATCTGTTCCTTTTGGTTAGGGATGACATCTGTGCTTAATGGTTGATTGGGGAAAAATGAGGATATTAAGATAATGTTTTTTTTTTTGTCTAGAGGGACTCAAACTATCTAAGTGGGAAAGTCCAGAACAAATATTGCACCTACATTCTTAAAGACCTAGAGAAGCATGTAGCCTAGGCTTTCTACCTTTAAGAATGTCTGATCAGAGCACATAGGAGCAAATGAAGGGGAGGGAGAGAGAGTAGAACACATCCTGGCCCACCAAATCCTGAGGACGATATTCCTGCTCTGAGCAGCCAATGCACAGAGAGGACCATAGGGCTGGCCCCACCACGAGACACAACGTCCATCACTGACTCACTACAGGGTACAACACTGGAGAGAGTGCGGGAATTGGGCCAGATTTGATGGTGAAACACTAAGGGCGTGTAACAGAACACCAAGGGGAACAGAGTAATGAAGTCTCGGGGGAATGCCAAGAATAGATTGTGGGGCCAGGGCGTGGCGCCCCATCAGACTTGACTGGAAAACATTTGTAAAGGTCAACAAACAGACCTTGAACTATTTATAGGCTTTTTTTGGTCATTGTTTTTTTGTTGTTATTTTCTTTTGTTGCTTTGTGTTGCTCTGTCTCGTTTCTGTGCATATTATTATCTCTGCAGGTTTATCTAGATAAGATAGGCGAGATACATAATCTGGAGGAGAAAACAACGGATGAAGGTTCCAGGGGGACATGGGAGAGGGGGAGGCAGGGAAATGAAGTGGGTGTTAACAAACCCAGGAACAAGGGAATAAGTGATCCAAAATGTATGGCAGGGGTCCTCAAACTTTTAAAACAGGGGCCAGTTCACTGTCCCTCAGACCCATTGGTGGGCCAGACTATAGTTTAAAAAAACACTATGAACAAATTCTTATGCACACTGCACATATCTTATTTTGAAGTAAAAAAACAAATGGGACAAAAACACCCGGCGGGCTGGATAAATATCTTTGGTGGGCCGCATGTGGCCTGCCGGCTGTAGTTTGAGGACGCTGATTTATGGTAAGGAGGGTGTAGGAGATCTGGTAGGGCTTGATCAAGGGCAATGTAACTGAGAGGAATTACTGAAACCCAAATGAATTTTGATAGTGGGATAAGAGTAAAGTAAAAGGAAATAGAGGAAAGAACTAGGAGGCAAGAGGCATTTATAGAGATCTAAATACAGGGATGTACATATGTAAATATATTCCTATATTTCAATGGAATAGATCTATGTATAGGTTTAGTATTAAGATAGCAGATGGACATTGGGCTTCTACTCAAGTACTCCTTGAACACAAGAACACTTTGTTCTAATAACCTGGAATTCCATGATGCTCACCTTCCCAACATCATCGCTGAAGGCAAAGAGGGTGCATAAGCAAATGTGAAGAAAGCTGATGGTGCTGGGCTATTAAAATATACAGCGTCTGAGGTCTTAAAGGCTTGATGATAAACAAGTGACTATCTTGCTCAGAAGCAACAAAGCCAACATGGAAGAAGCACACCAGCCTGTGTGATCATGAGGTGTCAGATCAGGTATCACATGTCAAAGACCCAGAATAAAAAATCATAATTGTGAATTAGGGGAAATGCAGAGTAGAGACCCAAAGCCCATCTGTAGACAACTGGACATCCCTTACAGAAGGGTCACGGGGAGCAGGTGAACCAGTCAGGGTGCAGTACAGCAACAATGAAACATACAACTTTCCTCTAGTTCTTGAATGCTTCCTCTCCCCACCCCCTCTACTGTCCCCACTATCATGACCCCAGTTCTACCTTAAAAAACTGACTAGACCAGAGCATGTACACAGGTGCAGATAAGAACTGGAAACACGGAATCTAGAACAGATAAACCCCTCAGGACCAATATTGAGAGTAGCCAGCCTTACCAGGAGGGTGAAGGGGAAGGTGGGGGGAGAGAGGGGGAACTGATCACAATGATCTACTTATAACCCCCTCCCAGGGGGATGGACAACAAAAAAGTAGGTGGAGGGAGACATTGGTTAGTGTAAGACATGAAAAAAAAATTATAAATTATCAAGGGTTCATGAGAGAGGGAAGGGGTAAAAATGAGAAGCAGATACCAAGGGCTCAAGTAGGAAGAAAATGTTTTGAAAATGATAATGGCAACAAATTGACACAATGGATGTATGTATGGATTGTGATAAGAGTTGTATGAACCTCCAATAAAATGATTTTAAAAAAAGAATCTCCTGTGAGTTAGACACTTGCAGCTGAATTACATATGGGCTTCATGGAGTTTTTGGTGAAGATGTGTGGCTTTGAGGAATTGTTGATAGCTTTTAAGGTAGGTCTTAGATTGGGCCCGAGATATGGTGCAGGATCCTAAGAAGTGACCTTGGAAATAGCCCAGGCTGCCACAGCTGTTTATTTTCTCACTCCTATGACTTAGTGTTTTACTCTTTCATCTATTTGACCAGTATTTATTGAGTACCTGTTTGTCCAGCCCTTTACCAGACACGTTAGCTGCAATAATGCAACTTTACTTCAAGTGTCCTATAATCTGGAGGAGAGAGATTACACAAACAACGAGCATGTTTCTCATTATGTTGTATGGTTAGGATTCAAGGGAGCACAGAGGAGACTTCACACAATCTGAGATGGAATATAGTTTCCCCGAAAATAAGACATCACCTGAAACTAAGACCTACTTACAGTTTTGCCTCTCGCTGAAATATAAGGCATCCCCCAGAAAATAAGACCTCCTCGAAAATAACCCCCCTCCCCCCCCCAAAGCTACCAGGACTGTGGAGCGTAGTGGCCACGCAGCTCACTGTTGGCCGCAGCGCAGCCAGAGCAGACAGGAAGTGCGAGGTCTCTTTTAATAAAACAATAAATGTGTACCGTATTCTTCATGGAAAAATAAGACATCCCCTGAAAATAAGACCTAGCGCATCTTTAGGAGCAAAAATTAATATAAGACACTGCCTTATTTTCAGGGAAACAGGGTAAGTATCAGTCTGGGGAAAGCTACCTCGAGGAGTTGGCCTTTAAAGTTGAATAGAAATTTCCCATTTAAAGTATGAGAATGGTTTCAACAGAGTAAGTGGCATTCCAAAGACCAAGAAGCATGAGAATCCACAGCAGTTTGGTAGACTGCAAGGAGTTTAGTAGAACTGGATTATGTATGTGTGCAATGTTGGGGATAGGTGTGTAAGTTTTAGAATAGTGTTGGAAGAGTTAAGCTTGAAGAAGTAGATAGAGAATAGAACATGAATGAACATATTTTTTTTTTATTTTTTTTTTAACATTTTATTAGGGGATCATACAACTGTTATCCCAATCCATACACACATCAATTGTGTAAAGCGCACTTGTACATCGTTTCTCAGAATGAACATCTTTTATACATTGTGGAGGACTTAGTGTTTCATCCTGAAAGCAGCAAGATTAGTTGATACTTTATATAGAAAAAGTGTCTGGTCAAATACAGGTCATTTAGAAAGATCACTCTGGTAAAGTTGAAGGGGCATTTGCAAGGATGGACGTATGGGGATGTCAGCTTTACCTAGAAACCAGGATAGAGTTCAGTGAGGAAGCCCCGAAACAAAGTAATGTCAGGGATAGTGGAAAACAAATACCACATTTGGCATGTTTCATAGATTTGATCAATTAGACTTGCAAATGAATAGATACGGGAAAAACAAAACAACTGAATTGCATCTCAGATTTAATGATTATCCAGCTGGAGGAAGAATGGCATTCAATGAGTTAGGAGTTGTGGAGAAAGAAACGTTTTTTATTTTTCGTTTTATTGGCAACTCTTACTGAAACATTTTTATAATGAGTTTAATTTCATTTCCAACTATTTCCAGTAAGAATGACTTCTAGGAGCTCTGGTGTCATAGTAGTTATGCATTGGGCTACTAACTTCAAAGTTGGCAGTTCGAAACCACTATTCCAAGAGAGAAAGATGAGGCTTTCTACTCCCATAAAGAATTACAGTCCTAGAAACACAGGGGCAATTCTACCATATTCTACTCATAGTTGCTATGAGTTGGAATCACCTTGATGGCAATGAGTTCGTTTTGGGTTTTTGGTTTTTTTGTTTCTTTGTATCTAGTAATGGATTGAAAGTGATAGTGACTGTAATAAGAACAAAATTTATTTCTCTTTTTTGTGAAAGGCAGCCATAGGCTGATAGTCTAGGGCTGATTTGGTGTTTCCATGGTATCTTGAAGAACCATGGGTCTTTTAATTTTTTCTGTTCTGTCATCTTTAATGCATTGCTTCCAATTTTAAAATCATTATGCAGGCAAAGATAGCTATTGGAGCGCTGACTCTCATGTCCATTTTGCTAGGCAGCATCAACAAGGGAAGAGGGAAGGACAAAGAAGGATGCAGCCCTGGCTGAGTTGCCTCTCTGTAGGCAGATTTTTTCTGGAAGTTCTACTTGGTGGAATGTAGTCACATTTTCACACGGCCACATCAGGCTAGAAACTGATATTTTTGCATTGTAGCCCTGAACAAAATCGGAGTGCTCTTGACCTTGGAAGAATGGATGGACAGGCAGCCCGCAGTTGCTGTCCTAAATATGCTGCAAGTATTAGAATACAACTGCTGAGACTTCCTATCTTACTGGATAATTGTTCTTCTTTTGGAATGCTCTTTGAGTATCTGATATATGCATGTTTCCATCAGAGTTTCGTAGCATAGTTCATATTGTCCTGTGTGCTTGAGGTAGAAGTTGTTAGTGGGTTATAGTGCTGAATGTTGTAAGGATTTGCAACTTTCTTACCAAATCTCATTCATTCTAGGGCTTGATGAAAGAAAACTGTTCAGAATTTTAAAATAAGAAAGAGCGCAGTATTGCTAACCTGTTGTCAAAGGTCTGCTTATTGTACGTTTAAAACATATATACATATCACTGTATTGACATACAACTTGATGCATTTTCACCAATTGAACACATTGAATTAACACCAAATGTGTAAACATTACCTTGCTAACCTATTTTTTTTCTTTTTTTTGTTTTACTAACCTGTTTTTAATGTAAGCTTAATTCTTTCCTGTTGAAGGAGGAAAAAGGACTTCCTTTCTTCAGATTCGCTATTATCTTTCTCTCTTGTACTGCCATCTGTATACCTATAATTTGAACGACGCTCAAGGATTGTGTGATCATCTAGTAAGAGAAATACTGAAATGGTCCCGCCTACCTGTACAGCACAATGAAGAGTGTTCAGGTATGTCATCTGAAAAACCACCCTCACCTAATTTTGTTAATTTGTGTTTTTTAGGGTTAGGCATATAATTTCCCCATACATTAAATCGGTTCATTTGCCTCTTTGGTGGAGCTACATTATGTTGCATTTGGGATTGTCACCTTTTAGTAGCAAGGATCCTTTAGTCTTTATCGTTTGAATTTCAGACTTAGCCTTAAATGTCTGTTGAACAGATAAGATTATTTTCTCATAGCTTTATCTGTTAGAATATCCAGTACTCAAGTATTTTCCCTTAATATATTTATATTTTCTTAACTGTTGCTTCAAGTTGTTTATTAACTTGATAAAAATCACATTCTGGGGTGTTCTAAAGTTCTTTATATCTGTTAAAAAAGCTGCAGAGTTTTGAATTTCTTCCCACTCCCTTTAAAGGTGTATTTAAATGAAGCAGTAACCAGGGGGAAAGAAACACACAGACACATTATATATATCAGTTGTAAGGTGGTCGACTAGTAGACTTATGCCAATGAGCATATCTGAAAGGTCTGTTGTGTCAAAATTTAAAACATGGAATCCACGCCAAATTTATTCTTTTTTAATTTTTAATTTTTATTTTTTTGCCAATTTCATTCTTTGTGCTTTCATCCACTATATAGATTTTTTTTGCTTTCTCTGATATGTCTCTTTTCAAAATTGTATCATCATGGAAGTAAGACATGTTCACTTTAGGCCAAAAAAATTAAAATGATAAAATAACTTCAATTTCTACCTCTTTTTGTCTAGGACCTGTCTACTTACACTGTGTGTGTATGTGTATGTGTAATCAGCAGTTTTATAATTTTTTGAAATTTAATATAGTTTTATCAATATTAATAGCTTTTTAACAATCTATTAGCTATTTTCCTTATTAATACACCTTCTAGGTTGTTGCTAAAGATATACTGTTTTAAATAACATTGTAATATGTATACGTTATATTGGCATTACTCATTTCTTTAGAACAAATGTATAGAAATTAGGATATTAAATCAAAGAGGATCCACGATTTTGATGCCTGGTGTCAAATAGGCCTCTAGAATGGCCTGTATGTCAATATGTAACTGAGAAAAGTGGCGTGAGGGCCAAGTCTGACCTTGTCCAGCTTCACAAGGTGGGAAAGAGGAGAATCATTATCAGCATCAGCCCAAAGCTGATTCTCTAGGCAGAGTTTTTCTTCTTTGCCAATTCTGATACCCACTGCCCCTCCCACAGCACTCAGCTGGTCAGTAATTCATGACAGTGGCCTCACAGACCATATTCACAATTGTGGGCTTTATTAGGGAAGTTAACATGTTACAATTCAGCATCAGAAATACTTAAGACACAGTTCTTCAGTTAGGTCAGTCTCTTCCCATCTGTTTCTCTGAGGTCCTTAGGATCTTAGCCACATAGTCCTTGTACAGGAAGAATTTAAAAAGGTGTTTTAGCTCTGTTGCTAAATGCTCATAGGGCACACCACTACACTATTAAGTCGCAGCCTTTGAAGGCACTCAGCTCCAGCTCCTTGAGTCAGCAAACCTAGCTCCCCAATTAAGTACCTGGAAACACCTCACTCTGGAAATGAGTGAGCATCCTGCCTGAAGGGGCACTTCCTTAGCCCAGGAAGCACAGTGCTTTGTACTGTGCTCTAAAGCTTGGTTCTGCTGCTGCCAGTCCTCTGCCACTTCCTGGTGTCGGCTTTCTATTGATAGATCAAGGGAGCATCAGCGTGCAGAGGTCTCAGGGTCCAAATGGCAAGCTTTCTTCCTGGCTCTTTTTTCTTTTTTTGTTTTCTTATTTATTTGATTGTGGCTCTTTTTGTCTTGATGGTAGATACGTCTCTCCTGCTTCTGAGATGGCTCATTTTATACCCAGCAGGATGGCAAACTTGACTAATTCTCATATTAGAGTTTCAAGTGCTTGCAATCGCTGTTAACAAATACTCACCAAGGAGTCATCATCCTGTCAGTATTTTCCCTTATCTTTTACCCAGGCCTAGCAGAATAGCAGTTCAAAACCACCAGCAGCCCCTTGGGAGAAAACCTGGACTTTCTTTTCCCATAAACAGAGTCTTGGAAACCCACAGGGTTTTTTTCTGAGTCAGGATTGATTTGATGACAGAGAGAGAGAGAAAGAACGAGAGAGAACGAGCAGTCATTTAGTGGGAGTTACAAAGACTATGACTTTGAAGAGTTAATAGTAGCATTCACTATACCACAATGACTTCCCCTTCTAAAGAGTAATGAATTTGTTTAACAATTGTTTAAGGTATATTAGGCACACTCCTTTGTCCACACAAACTTTTTAAAAAGAAATCTTTACTAAGGGAGTATCTTTAGACTTCTGTTTTTAAAACCTGAGCCGGGACAGCTAGCAGAGTAGGCTGTGGTCTTCAGCACAGCTGTCAACGTTGCTGTTTAAGAAATAGCAGTTGACCTCCATTCTATTACAAGCGCTTTCTCTCCACTCTCAACAACAGACCATTAACTTAAAAAACAACCAAAAAACCTACCAACTTGAGGACTCACGAAGAAGGCACAGTATGGCAGTGAGTTTGGTTTGTTTTTTTAGTTTGCATTATTATTAAGAGTTTTTATTTCTCATATAGGGATGACTCTTGGCCTCTGTTCCTGCTAGGGCATATCAGAAGTTCTGATACAACCCTTTGCTCTCCCTAAGCCTTCTTCATGCTACTGCTTCCCAACAGAGTCTTACAGTACTTTACCCCTGATAGTCATGGGAGTGCATTTCCCAGATCTAATGGAATGGAATAGCACCATGAATTATACTCCTGGTGTTTCTCAGGTTCTTGGCAGTTGAACTTCCTCCTCCCCTCACCACTTGTTTATAGGGGGAAAAGATGAAAGGGAAGAAAGAAAGAGAAAATACTATACAGTGAAATGCAGATACTTGCAAGGCTACCATGGCTAGATTGATCTATATAGATGCCTCCATATTTTGAAATAAAATTGAACAATTCCTAAGTACGTATTTATCATTATTTAATAGATTTTGTTGGGGTCTTCAGGATGTATAGATACCAACTATAAGTGGCTTGCATAAGCCATAGATTTTGATCTTACAAAAACATTGTCATTCTGGCTTTCTTCTGTAATGTTGTAAGCTTAAATATTACTACTTTTTTGGGTAATATTACTACTTTTTGATAGCTCACCCTGAATGACCCATGGGCATTTGCTTTCCACCCTTAGGTCCCAAGAAGACTCCCTGTGAGTTTGGAATGGCAGACCATGTCCACCCTGAGGCAGCAGTGAGGGTGATTCAGTCCATGGCTCGGTTCATGGCCGCCTATTTCACCAATCAGCTGCTTTGCATTCTGCCACCTCACAATGTGAATGTTCTTCCCCCACTTCATGTTAAAACAGGTGACAGAGTCAACAAATACATCTTTCACCTTTGTTTTTGCGTACAACATTTGAAATATTTATTGTAATGTGACTTACAGTCCTGTGTAATGTACTCTGTTTAACTTTTTAAAATGCTGCTATCTATTTCAGTGTTGAAACAACATTTCTTCAGTGTTGAAAAAATGTTTTATGTCTGGGAGCCCTTGTGGCATAGAGGTTGCCCAATTGGCTGCTAACTGAAACTCAGCAGTTTTAAACTACCAGCCCCCCTGAGGTAGAAAGATGAAACCATATCTTCTCGTAAAGAGTCAGTCTCGGAAATGCACAGGGGCAATTCTACCCTGTCCTTACAGGGTTGTTATGAATCAGAATTGAAAGAGTTTACGAGATATTGTATGTATCATACTGTAGTTTGGGTATAAAATACTAAATAGTTCATTGAAGAGATATCATTTAAGGAGATATTCCAGTAACACTAAACCATGAGTTCTGATATATAAATACAATATTCATTTTCTTTCATTGACTCTTAGAGCAGTCCCTTCGATTGATTCCTCTACAACATTCGAAGGTGGCCAGTGTTGTGAGAGACCAGAATCTCTCTAATATGTGGACAGTTGAATATGCACTTGAATTATTACTTATTGGTGGCCTGGTTCCAGAAGCAGTGTGGTTGGCCCATAAACTTGGAGACTGGAAGACATCTGTATCTATTGGTGTGGCTTTCCAACTGTTCTGTAAGCATGATAGCAATTTCACAAGGTATGTATTTTTAGGGAAAGCTAAATTATAGTATGACAGTTACTAAAGTATCTTTTATGTTTCTTATTGCTGGTATTTATATGTCATGTGGAATCTTTATTCAACAGGGCTCAAATGAATTTTCTCTGATGATGAAAATGTTCAATTGAGTTCTGTATTTCCCAGTGTTTTGCACACTTGCCTCTACCAGGTAGTGGCTACTGTGTAGAACAACTCAGCAGCTTACTTTTCGTTTTCAAATATGTATAGCTGTTATGGGCTCATTTGAACTGAAAACAGCTGTATTTTACTCCTCTGAATACTTCGGCAAGGCACCACATTTAAATATATACCCTTTTCAATTAATAGATTATTTATTGAATAATTGTTACGCATAAAGCCTTTTGCCAGATATTTCAGTGGTTAGATCACACATAGTTTCTATGCTTATAGCTCTTATAATTTAATGGAGAAAATAGAACAAAACATTATAATTTATTATGGTAAGAAAAGTTACTATTAATATAATTGCAAGAGCAAAATTACTGAGTGGGGAAAGGGTAAGATTTCTTTTTGGTTTTTCTAACTCTAAGTTTTTGCACATTTCATTATATTACTTTGTCTTCTCAAGCTGCCCTTTAAAATTTTATTTTTTAGAAAAATTTAATTAATTTATATTATTTTATTGGGGGCTCGTATAGCACTTATCACAATCTGTATGTACATACATCCATTGTGTCAAGTACATTTGTACATATGTTGATATCATCATTGTCAAAACGTTTTCTTATTACTTTTGAGCTCTTGGTATCAGCTCCTCATTTTGTCCCCTCCCTTCCCTACCCTCCCTTCCCCATGAACCCTTGACAATTTAGAAATTATTTTTTCATGTCTTACATTGACTGATGTCTCCCTTCACCCAGTTTTCTGTTGTCCATCCCCTGGGAGGGGATTATAAGGTAGATCATTGTGATCGGTTCCCCCTTTCTCCCCTCACCTTTCCTGTTATTGCTACTTTCATTATCGGTCCTGAAGGGTTTATCTGTCTTGGATTCCTTGTGTTTCCAAATCTTCTTTTTTTTTCTTTGTTTCACTCGGTTTAATGTATTTGTGATTTAAAGTCTCATGTCTTTTTCTGATTTCATGATGTTAGGCAAAGAGCATCCTAGCCTAGGACATACCCACATGTTAGTTATTAGAAAGCATTCTCCAAATGTTTTCTGGAGGACTAAGATTCTCCTTCAGCATCAAAATTGTAAGAGCAGTATCAGAAAGTAATTTATCAAATTCAAATTCTACAGTTGCCAAACAATCTGTCTTTCATTTGTATTCCTTAGAAATCTTAATAATACTTATCCCAAGGTATGTGAGGTAATGTTTCCAGCTCTTATCTGTACAGTGTGTATGCCCTGGTCTAACTGGATTTATAAGATAGAATTGGGGTCATGATAGTGGGGAGGGAGGAAGCATTCAAGAACTAGAGGAAAGTTGTGCTTCATTGGTGCTACACTGCACCCTGACTGGCTCGTCTCTTCCCTGTGACCTCTCTGTAAAGGGACATCCAGTTGTCTACAGATGGGCCTTGGGTTTTTGTTCTGGGTTTTTGATGCCTGATACCTGATCCCATCGACATCTCGTGATCACACAGGCTGGTGTGCTTCTTCCATGTGGACTTTGCTGCTTCTTAGCTAGATGGCCGCTTGTTCATTTTCCTTTGAAAATTTTGGTGTAGCTCATTTCCTTCATCATCTCTTCCTCATTGCTTTAGCTATTCTACATTTAAGAGCAAATTTCAAAGTCTCTTCTGACAACCACTTTGATAATTTCTCTCTTTTGACTGTTTTTTTACGGTTGAGATATATAAGTATTATATTAAAGTCATCGAGAGCATGAGATATATTACAGTAATACAGATAGACACATTACATGGTAGCATTGCTCACCTCAGCCCAGCTTGCTGGTCCACATGGAGAGAGGGGGAAGGGAAGGAGGGCAAGGGAACAAGGGAGAGGGGGAAGAGAGGGGAGTGACCAGGGAGTGAGCAGCAAGGAGAGCATCTCTCTCGCTGACCCACGCCTATATCCCTTTGGGGGTGTGCACGCCCACCAATTACAGGTAAAGACATATGTCACAGGAAGGGGTTACACTATGAGTTACACAGTAATGAGGGGGGATGGTCTAGGGGTTGGTTTCTGGGTCTCCATAGGAACCATTTTCAATAGAGTGAAAACTCTGCCTACAGGAGCCTGTCCATTGTCCCCAGAGGCAGAGAGCAGGCCCACCACTGTGGTGGGATGAGACAGTAGTCTGGCAACTGATTGCCCTCAGGGGGGGGCGGATGCCTATGCATCTGACCTCTCCCCGGAAGTCCCCCTTTTGTTTTATATATAAAATTCAAAAGCCGCATGGGCGACATGGTTATTTTCTATACATTGAAAGCTGTCAAGGCAAAACTTCATGATCCAATTAATATAGCTCAAAATTCAGGCTTAATAGGAATACTTTGAATCCAGGCCTAGAGGATAAAGCCCCCTTATGCCCATCTACTGTTGGAGGAAGGTATGAGATTGGATACCGCAGCGGGGAGTAATAGAGCCAAATAGGAATGTCTGCTTCTATAGGGAGAATGAGTCAACCATGTGCTCACTTTAAGGCAGCACCAGCATAAGAGGGAGAAACTGGAAAAAATTAGAGTACCGTAGGAAAATATACTCGGACTACATCTCTGACTTCCAGAGTGGTGGCTTTCCTTTCCATGGAACACTGGCTTTCCAGATTCCCACCATACACGTCCGGGATTAAGTCCCAGTTATATTTCCCTTAGTGCTAGTATCCCATATTTCCCCTTTCTGCATTACGTTTAAGATTTAATAGTGTCACGGAGGCAACATGGTCTTTCTTCATATCTCTTAGCTCCCTATAGATGCGACATGAGACTGCGAGCATCAAAAATATGATGATAAGCAATTAAGTCAGACTAGCATTTAAACTATGTGAGATACTTTGAGCCCAAGCACGAGGATCTAATCCTTCCATGCCATCCACCAATTGCTTAATTATATCAGAGCCAGGAGATGCCTCAAGCTTGTCTTTGAATGTATAGAAAATATCCTTTTTAAGCTGATCAACATCTAATTAAATGTTTTCCCTGAAACCCTTGCAAATGTTTCTTGATCAAATCCCAATCATGCAATGTTACATTATACAGGTAAGGAGTTACACAGAAATCAGTTACATTTCAATCACATTACAGCATTAATTAACAAGTTCAAAATCTTGATCTTTCAGCAAAGCAACAGTCTGTAGTAGTAGTCCAGTCATTATTGTATAAAATGTTTTGCTTTGATGGAGTCTCAGTGTCCCTTAGATGGCATCACAATGGAAGAAATATCTCTGCAGTCAACGATCGCCATTCTCAGTAATCTGCGAGGTCTCCTTGACTTTTGGTAACTTCAGTAAGCAGAACGGGGTCATGTCACAACATGGACGTCCCTCCTTTCTTCTGGGCCTTGCTGGCTGTAGAGAAATCCACCTATCTCCTTTGCCTGTGAAAATATAAACAAATAGCCCCTCTCTTCGGGGTGTCTTTAACCTGCAAAAGGAATTATGATTAAGATTGGGTGGCTTCTCCATCTCTTCTTTGTCCATCTTTCTCCAAACATGGTTGCGTCCTTCTAAAGGGAGTCTATCAGCTTTATTCTGCAAGAATATGAACGCATAGCCCTTTCTCCAGGTGAATGGCTCCGGATCCCAAAGGCGGTTTCCATCTTCTTGGGACTTCTTAGGATCAGGTTTCTCTCAGCCCAGCTTGGTGGTCCACGTGGAGAGAGGGGGAAGGGAAGGAGGGCAAGGGAACAAGGGAGAGGGGGAAGAGAGGGGAGTGACCAGGGAGTGAGCAGCAAGGAACTCTTGACTTTTTAATGACCGTTTACTTTCTTCATGTATAATGTTCTTAATGCCTTCCACAGCTCATCAGGTCTTTTGTCATTAGTGTTCATTGAGTTAAATCTGTTCTTGAGGTGCTCTCAAAATTCAGGTGGGATATATTCAAGTCTATATTTTGGCTCTCATGGGCTTGTTTTAATTTTCTTGAACTTCAACTTGAACTTACAGTTGAGCAATATATAGGACAACAGTAGACAATAAGAATGAGGAGGTATATTAGAACCATAAGTATGAAGGTCCTAGCAAACTTCATTGCATTATTCTCTTTTTAATAGTTTATTGAGATATAATTAACATCATGAATTTCAGTAGTTCAATCATATTAAGAAGAGCTGTGCATTCATCACCACAATCGACTTTGGAACATTTTCTTCCTTCTTGACCCATTGCTATTGACTCCCCATTCTTACTCCCCAGTCTCCCCGTCTGTGCCCCCAGGTTAATTATTAATCTCCTGTTGCTTCCCCATCATGACATCCCTATACAGAAAAATATACAAAACAAAGAGAAAAACAAAAGAGGACCTAGCAACAATGACCAAATAAAACAGAAAAGCGTCAATGAAAAATAAAGCATAAAATGATAATAAAAATAGAGTAGATTCAAAATAGCTCAAAGGGAGATCTACTGACAAGGTGTTACATTCCAGCCTAACTACAGCTACTAAAATCCACTTTACAATGCTCTTTGATATTAAGGATACTCACATTCCTAGACTATGGTCAGTGGGAATTCACTGGAGACTAAATCCATAGGGACACTGCAAATGGATTTTGGGCGTCCGCTATCATCCTTAGCATTCTGGGTATTTAGAAACTGGGTGTTTAGAATTCAGACTCTGGTACAATTCCCTCTTCTGGGTTTGGATTTTATTAGTTACAATCTTTAGATCACACAGGCTGATGTGCTTCTTCTGTGTTGACTTATCTGATACCTCACTTAGATAGCTGCATGTTTTCAGACAAGTCTTTATTGACCCAAGACATTAAGGGGAAAATACACTGGTATTATGTTCCTAACTGGGCACTTCTGACCTAGTTTCTATCCTTCCCCTGGTGAGTTAGTTAATTGTGCCAACCTGGCCGATAATCACATGTGGGTCTGGTTGAAAGGCAGAGGGATAAATGGGTGGTGAGCCTCGCCTTTCTAGTTCTCGGGTCTCTTGTTTTGTGATGGTTGCATCGGGTGCAGCTGCCTTAGCAGTTCCCTGCTTCAGCTTGCAAGATGGATTTCCTACAAGACATCCCCAAGGAGAAGCCGCATGGATCCATCCCGATGCAGCCCTGGGTGCTGGAGCAGCCATTTGGAGACCCCTGCCAGTGCTGAGATGCTTACACGTTCACTGACTCAGCTTTCCTCCTGCAGTTGGCATTATTGCCTCTGTTTTGTGAGGTGAAGGACTTTGTGGACTGGTGTTGGGTATGGGTTAATGTTGGACTTGTGGGCTTGGGCAGCATTGGGTTGGGATGTTTTCGTGATGCACATTTTCTTTGCATAAAACTCTCTCTTATACGTGAGTTGCTGTGGATTTGTTTCTCCAAAGTACCTAGACTAATACACCTGGTGACCCAAGCAATGTGTTCTAGGTAACTGGGACATTAGACTTTTCCTTTTGAGGTGGACAACATCTTTCCTAGACCACACCAGAAGGATCTGAATATGGAAATCTCACTAAGTGAACTGGACTTTAACTTAAAGCAGTGGTTCTCAACCTTCCTAATGCCGCAGCCCCTTTAATACAGTTCCTCATGTTGTGGTGCCCCCCCCAAACACAAAATTATTTTCGTTGCTACTTCATAACTGTAATTTTGCTACTGTTTAGAATCAGACGACCCCTATGAAAGGGTCGTTTGACTCCCAGAGGGGTCGTGACCCACAGATTGAGAACACCTGCCTTACACTCACTTGTAGCAGATCTAAGGAACTGAAATACTTTCTTGAACTTAAAGCTGAAATGCTCTAGAGAGGGCAGAAGCAGATGATCACTCTCCTGAGGTTAGGGAATTGGTGGCCATTAGACTTTGATTTGGTTCAGACCTATAGCTGTGAAGGGTGCCTAGTTAATGGGAACTCAGGACCAACATGTCCTTGCTGTTTGCACGCTGTTTTTTTAAGTGTGTGTGTGTGTGTGTGTCAGGTGTTAGCTTACCAGGCATTGTTCTGTCTTTGTAAATGGGTGTTACTGAAAGTATTTCTATGTCTCCGGTCCTCATGATTTGTGTAACTAGTGCCTAGTCATTTAAGTTTCAAGCTGTACAGCTTAACTATTCATGCATTGTAGTTTAAAAAGATGTCCTACACATGTATAAATTTTTTTTCCTCAACGGTGTTTTAAATTTTATACCATTGGCTAAAATAATGATAGCATCAATAAAATTACCTTATGCCCCATGGGGATGATTTATGATACACTCCAATAAAATGATAATGATGTCTTTAAAGTGAACCAGGGATATATATGAACCATAAATATATGAATGGATTTTGAGCTCCCACTTGATCATATCCTTAATATAAGAACAATTAGTTCTTGTAGCATAGCCCTGATTGGTATTCACTGTCAGGAAATCACTGAATTTAGGAGTGCTATAGCAAAGTGAAGAAATCAGATGATGCCCAGATATTAGAAAAAGGGTTTTTCTTGACAAAATAATCTATAAATTATCAAGGGTTCATAGGGGATGGGGAAGCTGGGAGGGAAGGGAAAAAATGAGGAGCTGATACCAAGGGCTCAAGTAGAAAGCAAATGTTTTGAGAATGATGAGGGAAA